CTCGCGGGGGCTGGGCCCGGGGCTGCGGCGGCGCGGGCTTGGTCGGCCTGGCGGGGCCAACAACATGTGCTGCTGCTGCTGCCACGCCTTCACACACAACAGCCCCGCCGCTTCCTGCCCCGACATCTGCCCGCCGCCCTGCTCGCCTGCCTGCCTGCAGGCAGCGTGGGCAGCCTGGAGGTGCTGCAAGCGCTGTTTGTGGTGCGGGAGGGGCGGCTGCTGGGCCAGCTAGTGGCGGCCATGAAGGAGGGCCGCTCCGGGCCGCAGGCAAGCCCCGCTGCGCTGCTGCTGCGCCGCGTTTTGTGCTGGGGAGCTGCCCGGCGTGGCTGGCTGTCACGCGGCAGGCTCCGCTCCAGCCTCCCGCCCGCCCTCATTCCCCACCAGTCAGTACCCCCACACACCCGCACCACACACACACACAGCCGCGCACCGCGCCGCCACCCCATGCCTGCAGGTGTTTGACATCTGGATGCGCCAGCAGAGCGACACCGTGCAGCACACGGCGGCGGCGTTTGCGGAGCGAGAGGTGCTGGAGGCATGCTGCCGCGCGCTGGCGGCGCGCAGCCTGTCGCCCGCCCTGCGCGCCCTGCTGGAGCCCGTGGTGCGCCTGTACGCGCTGCACCGCCTGGAGCAGGTGCGGGGTGGGGCCTGGGGGGGCACATGCATGCGGGAGAGCTGCCTGCACGCCGCTGTGGGCCCGGCTGCAGGCTTGCCTGGTGTGGTCATGGTTGTGGAGCATAAAGTGTTGAGACCTTCTATTCTGGGTCATCATTCACCGGCCGCGGCCCCATGCCGCCGCTCACCGCTGCAGGACCTTGCCTGGTTCCTGACGGAAGGCCTGGTGCCGCTGGCGTCGGGCACGGCGGTGGGCGAGGCGGCGCGCGCGCTGTGTCGCCAGCTGGCGCCCCACTACCGCACCCTGCTCGACTCCTTTGGCATCCCGGACCACCTGGTGGCGGCGCCCATTGCGGGGGACTGGGCTGCCTACAACGAGGCCGACAACCAGGGAGAGCTGCTGGGGCAGGTGTGGTGAGGTGGCGGGTGGAAAGGACGGCAGAAGGCCCGGGCGGGCGAGGGAGCGCTGCTGGCGGCAGGCCAAGGATGCCCGCGACCCTGTATCTTCAATCCCTCTCAAGTTTTGTAGCGACCTAGGCCTCCATTTTTGTAGCGATCGGGACGTACACCCGAGTTTTGTGTAGCGAATCCTCCCCCGCCGTTTAGAGCTGCGGCTGCGCTGCTAGTGCTGGCCTCCACGTGAATGTAACTAGCCGAGGCACTAGTGGCTCGGCGAGGCGCCGAGTGATGGCAGCATGAAGTAGCAAGAACCAGCAGAGCTTCCTCCGGGCTGCAGGCGGCCGGCGGCCGGCGGGCATGATCGTCGGCTGACATGGCGCCCACGCCATGGCCTGCCAGGAAGGATTCACGGAAGGCGAAGGCGGCGGACCCTTGCGCCCTCAATTGGCGCCGGCATACCCTTCTGCGGGCATAGGGAGGCGAGCGCCAGCAGAAGTCCCCCATCGCAGGCTCATTCCCACCGCTTCTGGGGCCCGCCTGAATGGACAAGCTCAAGGCGCTGGTCGCCTCCAAGCGCAAGGCGTCGGAGGAGGAGTTCAAGGGCAAGAAATATGTGAAGCGGTCGGAAATCGAGGAGCTGCGGGTGGCCAAGCTGCGCGAGGAGGAGCGGCAGGAGCGGGAGGCCAAGGTGGGACGCGCCACGGGCACGGCAGGGCCCCGGGCGGGGGGGGGCACTGCAGCCGGCTGCGCGCCACCGCCGCCGCCGCCTTGAGCTGCGCGTGACCAGCCCTGGCCCCCATTCGCACCTCTTGTTCCCCCCCTACCGGCCTGCAGGAGGCCAAGCGCCGCAAGACGGCGGGCGAGGACTCCGACGGCGCGCGCCCCGCCAGCTGGGGAGGCGACGCGGCGCGGCCCGACTCTCGA